GAATTTCCAAGTCCAACAGCAGAGAGATGGCAAAAATCGGGGATGCGTTTATTGCGAAAGCCAAGATCACAGATCGGTCGACTGCAAAACGGTAGCCAGCCTCGACGATCGCAAAAGGATGCTTAGCAACAAACGCCTTTGTTTCAATTGCACCGGAGGCAAACACAGGGCTGAAGATTGCAAAAGCCGTTCCATGTGCCAGATTTGTAAGAGAAGGCATCACACGTCCATCTGCAACAGCGTCAGTAACCAGTTAATGACAGCGACTTCAACGCAAAGACCAACTGTGATCTATCCAGTCGTCGTAGTGGAAGTGATGGGAGTTAAGTGTCGTGCGTTACTAGACACCGGCGCCGGAAGTTCCTACGCTTCAGCAGCGTTACTTGATCACATAAAGATTCGCCCTCATCAACGAGAAGTACGACAGATCGAAATGATGATGGGAGTAGTCACTAAGCCGGTGGAAATCTTCAAAGTGCAAATAAGTTCACTGCAGAGCGATTTCATCCTTGAAACGGACGTGACTAAGGTGAATAAGGCACAGCTTTTATCCCTGGAAAACCCTCGCTACCGGCAAGTCCTGGAAAGGTACGACCACTTGAAGGGAGTGAAGATGGACGATATGGACCCAAAGGATTACCTTCCGGTGCACCTTATCTTGGGAGTGTGTGACTATACTAAGATCAAGACTGTAACAGCACCTCTTATTGGAGCCGCAAACGAGCCTATTGCCGAGAAAACTAAGTTCGGATGGACCATTATTTCACCGGGCAAAGAAGTGGATCTGTCTCCCATGTTCCTGACGCAGACATCAACGGTAGATTACGACAACTTGTGCAGACTGGACGTGCTTGGACTGGCAGATTGTGCAACTGGTGACCAAGACGAGGTGTATTCAGAGTTCAAAGAGCAACTAAGACGAGATGATGAGGGTTGGTACGAAACTAGCCTACCATGGAAAGGGAACCACGCACCTTTACCAACCAACGAAGCAGGAAGTCTTCGCAGATTAACAGGCCTCGTAAAGAAGCTGCGTGGCCAAGGAATGATAGAACGTTACGATCAAGTAATCCAAGACCAAATCAAGACCGGGATAGTCGAGAGAGTTAGCACACCCGCAACTGGGCAGCACGAATTCTACATTCCTCACAAGGCAGTGGTACGCGACACAGCAGAAACCACTAAGCTTCGAGTGGTCTATGACGCGTCAGCACGGGCCTACTCTGGTGCACCCTCGTTAAATGAGTGTCTGAATCCTGGACCACCTCTTCAAAACAAACTCTGGAGTGTCCTAGTTCGTTCTCGATTTCATCCAATAGCAGTCGCAGGAGACATTAAGCAAGCTTTCCTTCAAGTACGAATCAAGGAGCCAGACCGTGATGCGCTGCGATTTCATTGGTTAAAGGACCCAAGCAGTCAAACAGTGGAGACGTTGAGGTTTACAAGAGCCCTCTTCGGTCTCACATCATCGCCATTCCTCCTGGGAGGCGTGATCCAGCACCTGTTGGAGAGTTGCAGACAAGACCACCCGGACATTGTCAGCGAGATAGAACGCAGCTTATACGTCGACGACCTCATCAGTGGTGGCCCTACCTGTGAAAAGGCAAAGGAAATCAAATCAGCTTCTCAGGAAGTATTCGCCAAGGGCACCTTCGAGTTGCATAAATGGCATTCGAATGTGAGAGAGTTGGAATCGGCCGCCTCTGAACCAGCCGCTTCTGAACCAGTCTCGATTGAGGAAGAAACGTATGCAAAGGAGCAGTTAAACGTCCCCAGAAGAGAAGGAGCTACCCTGCTTGGTTTGCCATGGGACAAAGCAAACGATACCATCGGAGTAAGTTTTCCACAAGAAAAAGCTGATCCCAGCAAGCGGGGAATCTTAAGCAAAGTGGCACGGATCTATGACCCACTGGGATTGGCCTCTCCTATCTCATTAGGCGGTAAGCTCCTCTACCGTGACGTGTGTGATGCCAAGCTAAACTGGGATTCAAAGCTACCAGGCGATATGATGCAGAGTTGGATACGATGGGAGAAGCGACTTCCCGAGCAGCTTACAGTTCCGAGATCTTTAGCAGCCCATCAAGAGGACATTCAGTCAATAGAGTTGCACGCATTTGGTGATGCCAGTGGGAAGGGCGTGGCCGCGGCTGTGTATGCTGTAGTCAATCAAGAGTCGGGCTCAAATCAAGGGCTCGTGGCAGCGAGAGCGAGACTCTCCAAAAGGGGACTGACGATCCCTCGGCTAGAGTTGGTGTCCGGACATATGGCAGTGAATCTCTTGGTAAACGTGGCCTCCGCCCTGGACGGATTTCCCCTTACCGAAAAGTACTGCTGGCTCGATAGCACCGTTGCCCTGCACTGGATCAGATCCCCAGGCACATATAAGCAGTTTGTGAGTAACAGAGTCGAGAAAATACAAGCACATTCAGGCGTGACTTGGCGGCACGTAGGGACCTTGGAGAACCCTGCTGACCTTGGAAGCCGTGGTGGAGAAGTGAAAAACCATCCCTCTTGGAGCAACGGGCCGAAGTGGTTGAAGAACAAAGCGATCTGGCCTCCAGACATTGTGACTAAGGCATCAGAGGAATCAATGGCAGAAGTGAAAGCAACAAGAGATGTTTTGCTGTGGCGATAGCAACAACAGATGAGCTAGACAACCTTCTTGAGAAGTTTACCTACTGGAGGACAATGAGAATCTGTGCGTGGATAATGCGGTTCGTTCACAACGCTCGTTCAGAGAAGATACAAAGACACGAAGGACCGCTGACAACTGAAGAAACTAACAAAGCGACAATCTTCTGGGTGAAAAGAGTCCAGACCAGAGCCACAGCAGACAAGCATTACGAAGAAGATCGGTTGCAACTGAATCTGCAACCTAACCAAGACGGCGTGTTAGAATGTCGAGGCCGAATACAAGGGCATTATCCGGTGTATTTGCCCGAGAGTCAGCGCTTCTTCACAGAGAAGCTCGTAACACAAGTACACCTTGGGACGCTCCACGGGGAGTCGTCAGTACCATGGCAAAGGTACGAGAGCTGTACTGGGTTCCGCGCCTTAGAAGATTGACAAAAGGAATCGTGAAGAGTTGCCACGGCTGTCGGCGGTTTCAAGCCCAAGCGTTCTCGTCCCCACCCCAAGGCGACCTGCCAAAGGATCGGACAGAAGGTTCTTCACCCTTTCAAGTTGTTGGAGTGGATTACGCGGGACCCATTAAGTATCGTATAAGCAAGAACAGAGAGGGCAAGGCGTACATCGTTCTGTACGCTTGCAGCCTGACCCGCGCCGTGTACCTCGAGCCGACCAAAACCTTGGAGACGGAAGAGTTTATCGGAACTCTCAAGCGTCTCATCGCCAGGAAAGGTCGCCCGGAGAAGATATACTCCGACAACGGGAAAACATTTGTGGGAGCAGCAAAATGGCTGAACAAGGTGATGAAGGATGAACGTCTACACGACTTCCTTGCCAAGATAAACGTGAAGTGGCAATTCAACTTGTCCAGAGCACCCTGGTGGGGTGGACAATTTGAGAGACTGGTGGGACTCGTGAAGCGAGTTTTCTACAAGACAGTGGGAAACGGAACGCTCACCTGGGACGAGCTACAAGACGTCCTGCTTGACGTCGAGGTGACACTCAACAACCGACCGTTGAGCTACCTAGAGGAAGACATTCAGCTACCCATCCTGACCCCGAGCACCTTCCTTTATGGTCAACCGAACATGCTTCCAGAGTTAGAACCTCATCACGTCCAGGAACACGACCTGCGGAAGAGAGCTAAATATTTGAGGAAGTGCAAGGATACACTATGGTCACGCTGGACAAGAGAGTACCTCCGCGGACTGAGAGAGAGACACCGGCTGAAGCACAAGGGAGACACGACCTATCCATCCAAGGGAGAAGTCGTCATCATCAAATCAGAAGAGAAGAATCGAGCACAGTGGAAGTTGGGAGTCGTAGAAGACCTAATCACCGGCCGTGATGGCGTGATTCGTGGGGCAAAGCTGAAAACTGGAAAGTCACGCCTGGAGCGCCCAATACAGCATCTGTACCCTCTAGAGCTGAGTTGTGACATGCCGATGCAGAACCCACCGGAGCCGCTGAATCCAATGGCGCCAATCTACAGGCCGCAAAGGGATGCCGCAGCAGCAGCCAGAGTTCGTATCCAGGATATGAACGAGGACGAACAATGAACTGAACAATGCATAAATTTAAGAACCCCAAGAACTATGAACATTACGAGTGAACTTTTATATTTTTTTGAGCATTTCATGCCAGATGGCACATTGATTTTAAAACTCTAATATTTGTTATGTTATGATGCTGCTTGGTCAACAGACTGCAGTTCGAGACTCTTAAATTCAACGACTGATTTTCTATCTGTTGATTAAGTTCTGGACATTTGCTCTCTCGAAGCAAATGGGGGGAGGGTGTCGTAAATCGCGTGTTTACATATGTAATCAAACCTCATATCGCATATAGAATTTGATTGTTAAGTGACCGGAAAGAGATAGGCATCGAATCTGCCAAATCAAAGGAAACATAAAACGAATCGCTTTATCTTTCGTTGAAAAATTATCAGGAGTTGTGTTGTAATAAAACCGGGGATGCTGTGAGTGAAGAATATATGTTTAAAAACCTTACATCGTGAGTGAGTGATTTAGGACCGTTTAGCGCGAGTTTATCGGGACAACAGTGTGTTGCAAGCAAATATCCCATTCCCAACAGCAAGAAAGAAACGAAAAAAACGAAAGAAAACTTGAGGAAAGCTAATTTTGTTAGCCGAAATATTGGCCTATAATAAATCAGCCCTTTGCCGTAGTGCCAGCCCTGCATTGAGTTTTGTTTTATATTTTAATGTCATTATAAAAGCGTTAATTACTTTTTCAAATTGCATTATGTTAAGGGTAAAATGTAAACATGTGATTTTCCTTCTTTTTTGTTTTCAACAAGCATTACCCTCAGCAAAGAGAAATGTCGACACACAAACACACAAAACATTTCAGACACCTTGGAAGGTTATTTTAATAATTAAAAAATGCCTCCATTTTACTTCAGTTATGGGGTTAGAATAATGCTCATAGTTACTTTGTGAGAAAGGATCTAAAATATGATAATTGTATGATAAAAGCTTGAGATATTTCAGACAGATGAAACAGTAGGAAAAAAAAGGCCGAACATCACCTGCGTCAAATTAGATGCCGTATTTCCTCGAATAAGCCCCTAACCTCTACTCTCTCGAATAAGCACCCACCCCTAGACCATAATACGGAGCTTAGGCAACGACGACGGCGACGTCAACGAAAACGGCAAAAAAGCAACAGCTTGAGACTGGTAAAACAACAACTTTGCACGTGCATCACGCTTTTTTGTACATTTTTTTGCCGTCACTGCACGACTACGACTTGAAACTTCCTAATTTCACGTTTTATGGAGGACGTGAACTCAAGACAACGTACCACAGATTTTCTTTTTGTTTTTTGAACTTAGATACAGTACTTTGGAATTCAACTCCTGAAAAAAATCGCCAGCATTTGACAAATCTAAGGGGTTGGAAAAAGAGCGATGAAGTTTGAAACAGCGCGAATTCACTGTTTGGGTGTTTGGGTGACTTTTTTTGCTGCTAAGCTCCCTATTATCAAACAAGCGACCCACCTTTTAGCGTAATAATAAGATAAGCGCCCGGGCGATTATTCGAGGAGATACATCAAACTCAATGCGTAAAACAAATAAAGAATGTTGAATGTCTCTTAACGTTTTTAAAGATTTCCTTGTAGTTTACACAAAAAACGCTTCATTATTTATTTTGGGATAATAACTAGTAAGGGTTGTCTTTCAGGCCTTTTCCAGCTTTCCTGAAGTAAACATTTTTGATGAAAAGTTTGTTTCTATAACAAATCTTATTTTCATGGAAGAAAAACTAGTGTTTGCAGATTTTCTTAAGCAAGGATAAATTTTTGCTTAAAGACGGCGGAATTTTGGAACATATCATCAACCTCTTGCCACGACACAGTTTTACAACCCCGTGGTCCAAGGGTTACCGGTATCGATAAAAGTTGAGTCATCATTTCGTTAGGGTCCGGTTGCAAGCGAGTCATGTACTAAAGAAGACTCGCCAAAGCAGTTCATTTGCGTTTGATCGCACGTATCTTGTAATGTTCAGGAAACTGAATTATACTTGCCTTTGATTTTGGAGGATGGCCATCAGCTGGAAGAAATGTGAAGCTCTGCAGCAACCACGAAGAAAACAGGAACAGCTCAACTTTAGCCAAAGGTTCACCAGCGCAAACCCGACGTCCAGCTCCAAATGGATAGAAATTACCTTGGTTGGTGATCAGCTTGCCGTCTGCATCAATATGGCGATATGGGTTAAAGACGGTGGGATCTTCCCAGCATTTGGGATTCAAATGGACGGACTCTGTGTTAGCAAAAATGACGGTATCCTTGGGAACACGGTAGCCACATAGAATTGTATCGACGAGGGCGATATGGGGAAGCGCCATCGGCAGCACGTTTCCAAGTCTCAATGCTTCTAAGATGGTTGCCTGAACGAGAGGCAGATTGGGACGGTCATCCAAGGAAGGTCTTCGATCACCAAGTACCTCATCTAACTGGTGCTGAATGGCCTCTTGGTAATTTGGATGACTAGCCAGAAAAGCAATGGCAAATCTCAATGTGGTACTGGTGGTTTCGTAACCACCAAAAAACATGTCTTCGATGGCGGCAATGAAATGATCTTCGGACAGTAGAGCAGATCTCTCTTCATCAGTCTCACATTCTACCTCAAAGTCATGTCGGGTTTTAAGCAATGCTGACATGAAATCTTCTACTGGCTCGGTCGGGTCAAAAGTTTTCATTCTCTCTCTGAGCGACTTGCGGATGATGGCGTGCATTTTAAAGAAAAGCTTGATGATACGGTCAGCAGCATTGAAAGGCAAGTGACATGCCCACGGAAAAAAGGACAAGAAGGAGGCCATCTGGACATCGTCAGCACTTGCGGCAAACGTTACATTCAGCTTAAGAAGCTTATCCATATCGGGGTGCGATGTGTTGGTGCCCTCTTTAAACGTAATTCCACATATAACGTCGGCAACGGCTCGCTGTAAACAATCTGCAGGATCGAAAGCTTTTCCATCTTGTTGTTCAATGAACTGCACCAGTTTCACAGCCTGGGTTGACACACGACTCTCTATTAAAGGAAAGTTGGAGAGGTACTGCCGTAACGCTGTGGTGAAGAGTTTGCGATAAAATTTCCAGGCAGGTCCATTTCCAAATACTATATCTTTTCCACCTGCAATAATAAAGATGCGTGCTATTAATATAAACGGCAGCGACGAGCACTATCTTGTTTTGCATACCGCAGAACCGCAATTAACGAAGGGCCAAGGGACTCTTCACTATAAAGAGGTTTCGTTATATCGCGGTTCTTTTCCATATACTTCAATATTACTGGGGCAAAGAGTATCGTTCGTTGTACCAAGGCTTTCCTTATATAGATGTCCGTTGTATCGTGGTTCCACTGTATCTTGCTTTCTACCCGCAATGAGATGTCACTTTTTCCTCTTATTAAACTCTCTACGATACAAGCAAATTCTCTAACCGTTATTTAGGGTGATAGTTTAAAAATTTCCATT